TAATTCCAGACCAAGTCGATGACTTAGCCTGATCGTTGACTCCACCACCAGAACTCGCGAGGATGCATGACACGTTCTGTGCCTCTTGATGGAGGAAACGTGTGCATGATCTCGGAGTATATGTGAGATGTGACGAGCTGCGTGTTAGGTAGAACCCTACCTGTATGGAGGTACCGGTGACCTATTGGATCAGAGGGTCCATTAGGATAAGGCTGGGAGGGGTACTCGTCAAGTCCAGTGGGAGGGTTGTCAAGGCTAGGCGACTTGGGAGAGGGAGACCAAAATTCCGTGGAAGCACCTGGATTTCATGTGCTGATGTTGTCTCCTCTTGTTTCTCGTTAGATTCTCGTCGTAGTTTATTGTTCGAATTCCGAGGACGGAATTCTTTGTAAGGTGGGTAGACTGTAGTGCCTCGTTCATTTGTGGATTATTTGAGAAATATTATTATTATTTCTATTGTTATTATTATTGTTATTATTATTTTTGTGATAATATTTATATTTATTTTTCTTGAATGCCATAATAATAATTAATTGCCAAATGTGATTAAATGCTAAATGTCTAATTGTCTAATTGATTTTGTGATTTATTATATTATTAATGTGAAATAATGTGTATTTAAAAATATGTACAATATATATATTGTTCGGTTTATTTTTTTTATCGCGCGTTTGCATTCGTAATCGAGCCCGAGAATTTTCGTTGGAACCGAAAATGGGCCCGAGAATGTCCGTTTGAATCGTAAGCGAGCCCGTGAGCCGATTTGATGTCGCAACCGACCCAAAACCAATTTGACCCAACTTCTCGGGCCCGGCCCGACAGATTTTTCTCCTCTTTTTCTTTCGCGTGAGTCGTGTGTTTGGAGTTGTGTTTGTCTTGGACATGAAGATTTCTCATTAACCCTAATGAGAATATATATAATTCTCCATCTCGATTTCTCTCTTCATAAACGTACCCGCAGCTTTTTCTTTTTCTGATCGATAAACCCATCTCTCGTCTTTGATTCTTCCCTCACCTTTCACGCAAATCGCTGCCATCGGTCTCTTTTCTTTTCGTTCACGCGCAAGCAGCAGAAAATCCGGCTATCACCATCTCAATCATCACCCTCGTCGTCCATCATCACCCTGGTCGTCATCATCGTCTCTATCTCGTCATTCCGTTCGTGAGCAGGACTTCTTCATCTCGCCATCCTCCTCTGTTCGAAATTCCGGCGGCCTGCAACTTCCGGCGGGATTGTGTTCCTGCGAGCAGTCCACGACCGCCGGCGAGCCCTTCTCGCAGCAACTCGCGCAGCGATCTCCGACGATCCCTTGCAGCGAGTTCCGACGACTTTTGTTCGTCCTTCGAGCAGCCCGCGAGCCCGGCGACGTGAACACATCCGAACGTGATTTTCCGACGAGCAGCTTCTCCTCCGGCGACCTTGCAGCGTCGTCCGGCAACCTAGCAGCAGCGACCCATCCCCTCTCGAAGCCGCTGCAGCACCTTCTCCTTCCGGCGAGACGCGAGAATCCGTCGAGCCCCGTTTGTGTTCGTTTTGTTTTTCGAGTTGTTCCCGAGAACGGTACCTCGTCGTTTTTCCGTCTCGTTTAAATCGTATATGATTTATTTCGTTATGTGTTTATTGTCGTGAGGTGCTCGTTGAACAATGAAATATATGTGTGAATTTCTTGATGTGAATATGTGCGTTTATATATTATTATGATTTTATGTGTTATCGTATGTTCGGGACCTCTTCGATTTTCTCAAGAATCAAACGAGACCTCGAAAGTCGTGTAAGTCGGTGGATATTGGAACAATGTCGAGCCCTTGGTCTTATGAAAAGGCCTCGGACGAGAAATTTTATGTTAGGAATTAATTTACGAGTTGTCGAGCTTTTGAATCGCTGTTTTGGTGTTTGAATTTTTAAGAATAGCTCACTGCTCGGAATGACTTGAAATTTTGAGGATATGTTATCTATTCATTTCTAGCCTTGGGTAAAAATTTCGTAATTTTTAGAGGCCTGTAGCTATATTTAATAATTAAAGTGAAATCTGATCAGAATAATGTTAAATGCATAAAAAATCCATTCGTGAATGCAATGAGCTGAAATTGAAATATGTCATGCCACTGTAACTTTTATATGTTGTGTTAATTGTTTATAATTTTTGGACTTGATTTGATGGGGATAATAATTTACCTATCGAATCTGCTGAAGCGTTTTTTGAATTTTTATAAATTGGTTATTTGGTGAAAAATTCTGACATTTTACTGAGATGCCTATTTTATGTGTTGAATTATGTTTTTAAAAGATGGGAATTTTTGGAGTCCATTTTCATTCAGTTTTGATTTAAATTCGATAAACTGCTGATGCTCGTACAAATTTTTAAAAATAGTAGCGGTCAACATTCAGAGCTGAGATTTTTATACATGGACTTTCGCATGCTGTATGTTGTTGTGTTAAATTTTCAAGTTCTGATTCGTTCATTAAGTTCAAGTATGAATTAATGTTCCCATTTTGTTGATATCTTGTTCGAATTTTATAAAATAGTGTATTTCGAGTTTGAAGCTGAAAATTTGTGATTTTACATGTTTCCGGGAGTTGAAATTTTTTGTAAAGTTTCAGAGCTTAATTCGTAGGGTAGCCTGACCATCTATTTTCATGTGATTAATTATTTCTATTTTGGAAACATGATTTTGAAATGAAAGTTGGGAATCGACTTGCTTTTCGTTCTGTTGTGAGGTTGACTTAGCCTATCATTAGATGGAATTATTTGAACTCTCATATGTTGGTTGGTCGAGTTTTGTATTGAGTCTTAGTGTTCTAACGTCCACAAGACTTCACGAACTACTTAGTCGAAACAAGTTCGACTAGGTCTGTTTTGTGTTTTCCGTTTAAAGTTAAGATAGATGTTGACTGTAGCATCTTGACTTAATGTAGGTGATTGAGGAGTCCAGCCTCGACCTACTTTCATTTCTTTGAGTTATTATCAATCCGGAATCCAGGTGGGTTATTAAAAAATTATCTATGCATATGTGTGATTTATTTATGATAAAAGTTTGGTGTGATCTATGTATGATAATGAACATGTAGCCTATCGATGTGAGCTTGATGGCCGTCGATACGGTTGTTCCCATATGATAAGATACGGTTACCCTGTGAGGTAAATCTCATAAAGACTTATGAGAAGGCCGTGTCATTGATGTGGCACGCACTCCCATGTTTCACTGATATGGTATGGCTTAGCTTTGATGAGCATAGATGTACATGAGTGAGTCTTTGATGAGACTAGAGTCATTGATGTGACTAGAGATGTGACATGATTTAATTGTTTATGTTCATGCTGCGGCCATACCATTTATAAGTTATTCATGTGCATAGTGTGAGTATGATAGTTAACTGTACTCACTCCCACCTGCTCGTAACTGATGCAGGTTAAGCAGTTGGCGGGTGACGAGACGAGATGACGAGTGGTGGTTATGACATTTATTTATTTAATTTTGCTTCTGCTTAGTTTATGAACTCATGTCGAAATTTGGATATTGATCATGTCGTTTGAAACTTGGGAGTTATGAATTATCTTTCGTGATTTTGAATTTAATGAATGCTAGTGAGGTTTATGATTTAATATTCGAGCATGCTATCTTTGTTTAATGTGGTTGCTTTTGCGGATAAAAGCTTTTGGAAAAAAAATAATATAGCGTCCACTGAGTTTTAAATTAAATTTAAGTTTTGCAAAAAAAAAAAATTATTATGATTTTTGTTAAATAGATTCGATAAATATTTCAAAATAAAGTGGGGCGTTACAAAATCACACTTAATCAATAAATGACGACTAAGGGATTTATCGGATTTTTCATGGATTTTTCGTGGACTTACAACTCTCCAAAATTACAAAAGAGAACGACTTGGAATAAGAAATAAGGTCTCGGGGCTTAAAATAATTTGTCGGATTTTTTGAAAATATAATAATAATTTTAAAAAGGAGAATTTTCATATCTCCTACGTGATTTATAAATATTTACAACTTTACCATGTAAATATAATTAATTATGTCTTTACTTAAAAGACCACATTTAACTGCATTAATGCCTAAAAGGACTTACCATATCCAATACAACCTCAATCCCTTAATTTTCGTTGTAAAAAGACATATTTAACTACCTTAATGGCTAAAAGGCAGTTACTATATTCATTTCAACCTAAAAAAAAAAAAAATTGGGTTCATTTTTTTTATTTATATGTTTTGTTTTATCTTTGATAATTCATTAAATGAATTTTTCAGTTTTTTAATGGTATATACAGTTTTTTTAATGGTATATATATAGTTTATTTTAATCGTGTTTTAATGGTATATATATCATTTTTTTTTTAATATTGCTCTTTTGAGAATATACCAAAAATATACTGAAAATATACTAAATATAAACCCTGAATAACCATACAAATAAAACGTTCCACCCTTTATTGTTGTGTATATTCCATTTTTTTTCCAACTGTTGTGTATATTCCATTACAAATACCAAAAAAAAAAAAAAAAAACATGTATTGTAATTCACACAGTTGTCCAGGGTGAGTATATGTTGCGTTTATGTTAATATATATTCAGTATAAGTTTAATATATATACAAAAAATATACCATCCAAAAACGTTGGTGTATGTGTTGTATATATTTCAAAGATTATAGTAAATATAAAACATAATCATGGTCTATATAATGAATATAAAAATTATAGTGTCAGGTATATATACTTACAATACAAATCGTAACGATGGTATGTATATGTTTTTCATGATTTTACTAAATATAAACCATACACATACCGAAAATATACTGAATATAAAACATACATATAACAGGAGGGAACGATACAAATATGAGTGGATAAAAATATAACGAAAATATACTAAATATAAACCATAGAAAACAGCAATGTTCCAATTACAGGGGGACTGATACAATATGAGGGGATGAAAAATTAATAACATGTTTCTTGTTGTGCTTGGACTGGCGCAACCGTATCAAGCACCCCTGCTGAGACCGAGGGCCGCCCCCGCCGAAGGACCTATCCGTCCAGACCCACCACAAGACAGGAGCAGGGAAAAGCGTCGTCTGAAAAAAAAAATATCAGAGTCAAAAAATTTCACCCCTATTCACACAGTCCAAAAATTCACAAACTAATTGTCAAAGAATGAGTGAAAGTTGAAGAGCGTCGACTGNAAAAAAAAAAAAAACACACACACACACACACATTTGGGTTCAATAATATCAGTAATGGTCAATGAATTCACAAACTAGACTTATGCGTGTGATTGATTAAGGTAATTCAGTACAACCCAAGTTCACAGAGTACTGCAAATCAACAAAATATTGATTTCTTGTTAATCCCTTTTCATTTTTGACTTTTTGGAAATTATTACACAATGTAAAACCATCTTATGCACTTAACCAGATAACATAAATTAGAATAAAAAGTTCTATCTGCAAAAAAGTGTCAAAAGCTCAATTCGATCCAAAATTTCACCAGCCACAGAAAAATAATTGGATAAAGATAATCAAACAAAACCCCCACATATCATCGTACACAAACAATACTGTAATTTTACCAATCATAATTATTCCTGCTCTAAAACTCAAGAATCACACCATGGTACATATAATCAATCAAAATCAGTAAGCAAAAAACACTCAACAAATTATCTACAGAAACGAACGGAGGATTGTCAGATCAAGGGCAGGCGCAAGTACGAGCAATTGTGCGGGTTGAAGATGAACAGAAGAAAAAAAGTAGAGATAAATGGAGATTAAAATAAAAAAGCAAACAACAAAGAGAGCAAACAGGAAAGGTAATCGAATAATCAAAAACTGCTTTTGCTGTTTGAAGGATTTTCAGCAATTGGTGTTAGACGAATTGTAGAAGAAGAAGGAGATGGAAGGGAGGAGAAGAAGAAGACGGACGAATAGAGAGGGGGAGAGAGAAATCGTATGATAATTATAGATCCCATTAAATTTGCTTTTACCATATTTAAAATAATTATTTGTTGCTCAATAATCTAGTATGTTTGTAAATAAATATGATAGTTTTAGTTAATTTACAAATAAATATAGAGAAAGGATCAGATGAGAAAGGGTTATAGTGAAAGAAATAAGAATGATTGTGGACCATTGGATCTATCAAACTAATGGTCATGATTAAGTCAAATTTTACTAATATCAGTCAAACATGTGGTGGCAATCTTGTAATTAAGTGATCATATTGTGGTCAAATATATGAATTTAACCACTTATTAAGGATAGATTGGTCATATCACAATTACATAGTGGACCCCACCACATACCACAAACCCTAATACTCATCTTTCATATTCACACACACACACACAGTAACTCACACGGCGCGCACACACACACACTTCACCACCACTCACCCGCCGTCGCCGGCATACTCAGCCTCCGCCACCACGGCGACCGGCCTGTCCCACGACACCTATTTTCGACCGCAGCCAATGTCCGCCACATCCAGCCTCCGCCCGCCTGCTGCCTCCGCCCTCCGCCACCACCACAGCGACCAGCCCGCCATGGAAGCTGCTTCATACGCCGAAGACCTCCCCTCGACAGCCATGGCAAAGCCGCTGTCTCAATCGACTTCGACGTCGACCAGCCCGTCACGGAAGGTACCTGCACGGTGGTCTGCAACTAAAGGACACGCGGATTCCTCGGAAAAAACGAGATGCGACGGGAGCACCTAGAGTCGCTGCCTCATCACCGGCGACGGGGAGGGTAGGTTCGGCGCCGGCGAGAAAGATTGCAGAGGGAGTGCAATTTGTTAATTAGGGGTCTAATTTTGAAAATTTGACAAGTGTGAGGGACTTAATTGCAATATTAGTAATTATATTATATTACAAATTAGGCCATGGGTTCAATTTGTAATTGATCAAACTATTATTAATAGTTTATTATTTTCATTTTTGTTATGTATAAATCATTAAATTGTACACTATGGCTAATAATAATAACATCATCTCGTGGCTGTTTTTTTTTTCCAACACGTATACCTTTTATAAAAAGTCAAACTAAAATTTCCTGAATATTGGTTTTGGTTTCAAATTGATTTGATTCTTGTTACTAAAGCAATTGGTTGTTTTTGGTTTTACTTATTTACCATAGAAAATTTGAGTAAACATAATTATTTATGGCTAATAATAATAATAATAATAATAGTAATAATTTTTATATAGTTTGATTGCTCGAGTATTTTGGTTATCTAAATAAAATCAAATAAAACGTCAAAATATAACAGACATAATTGATTTTCGTAAAAGTTAAAACAAATAATAAAAACGAAATATAAAATTTCAAACTTAAATTTTTAGTTTGGACATAATCGGTTTAATTAATCGGTTAATATAAATAATCAAAATAACCGACACAAATTATAATATTTATAATAAAAAAAACATAATTAGTATTTAATATCTATTTATTTTATATTTTATATTATTTTTTTATTAAAAAAATTAGTATGTATGTAAATTAAATATAATGTACAATCTAACTGTTATTAAGGTGTAATTTGTCCAACAATATGACGCACATTGTCAGTCTGTATTGTGCATATTGAACCAATTGAACTTTTGTTTTGTCCCAGACCAAATTGAAAATTAATTTGTTGGTTTAGTCGGTTCGGTTAACTGGATCATCCTAAATAATCGAAATAATTTGTTATTTATATATAAATTATATTTAATATGTTAATAATTTTATTATTATTTTTATATTATATTTGGTTGAAAAATTTGAGTTTTATCAATTTCGATATAGATTGTGCAATATGATAGTTGTGATAAAGTGCAACATGTTATTTTATAATGTGCAACGATTTCGATCTATATTGTGCAATTTGATAGTTGTTATAAAGTGCAAAGTGTTGTTCTATATAGTGCAACATGTTATTTTATAATGTGCAACACGTGTAAGTATACACTGAACTGCAGTAATTTTGGTAAAATACAACAATTTAATTTATAAAGTGCAATGTGATAGTTTATAAAGTGCATCGTGCCGCTATATAAAGTGCACTACATTATGTGAACACATATAAATTATGTGTTTTTGAAAACTATATTTGGTATATATAATTGTGCATCTAATTAACCTAAATAATTGAAATAATTTACTATTAATTACTATAAATATATATATTTATTATTTTAGTTTTTTTTATATACTAAAATTTTACATATTAAAAATATTAAACATTGTACACTTTAATTATCATTATGTGCATTTACTAAAATGGTACTATAAATTACACATTTTCCCATGAAATAAAATGAAAAAAACACTTAAAGTTGATAATTGCAAATATGCCCCTCAATATTATCAAATTTTTTTTATTTTTTTTAAAAGCCAGCACCTTAATTCCCAAATCACGCCCAATTCATAGCAGATCCCGTCGGCTCAGGTGCCATTTCCGGCCAAATCACCCCCAACTAGTATTCGACCTGTGCATTTGCACAGATATAAATAAATTATTGTGAGTCTGTATGCATATAATAATTAATTATTTTTCTTTCACTTTTTTGCAGACCAAATTTACAATTAAAAGAGTTGTAATATTTTTTTTTTAAATTGCGTTTATCTGATTGGATGTAATGTATATTTTGGTATGTCTTTTATCTGTGAATTATTTATTATTTATTTATGAATTTCAAATATATTTTTTATTTAAAAAAAAATTAAATGTAACAACAATAATAACATCTAAGCACATTATACGGTCAACACATTATATGGTCAACTGTCATTAATCAAAAGTTTAAAATGATTTTTGTAATTTTGAAGTAATGAGTATTAATTATTTAATGGTTAAATGAAAGATTAAATACATGAAAATGTAACGGTTTTTAGAGGGAAATTTGTTAAATTGCCACATAGGTAAAATTAAATAGGTTTTATTAAATGTTATTAGCTAGTAATTATATATAGATAGATTCATAGTTGATCCCATCGACTCAAACGGTGTCATTCCGGCGACCTCAGCCATTCTGGCTCAGCTCTGCGGTCCATATCGGTAAGCACCGACGCTATCCTGGTGCCGACGAGAATTTTTTTTTTTTTGTTTAACCCCCATTAATGGCGGCCGAACTTGGAAATCTGTATTTCCGGTGCCGGCGACCGATGCACCTTAATCGACGAAGTGGATTAAGGACGACAGGATCAACTGCGGCTGGCGTGCGACGGAGCTTCCCGGTGGAGGATGTCGGAGACGGCGAGACGGCAGCGAGGCGGAACACGGCGGTCGTTTGGCTGCGTCTAAGTCATCTGTCAGTCATGTGCCGGCGGGAGACGGACTGTCTGTGTCCGGGCATGGATGGCGACGAACGGCGGTTGACTACGGCGTGAAGACGGCATCGTGACTGACGGCGGCGTGAAGACGGCGGCGGTCCGGTGGCAGTCGGCGAGTCTGTGATGTGGTGCCGGAGTGTATGTGGACTAGTGTGTGTGTGTGTGGACGAGTATGCGTGTGAAGTGTGTGGGTGGTGTGTTTAATGTGTGTCTGCGTGTGTGGTGTGTGTGTGGGGCTGGAGAGAGAGAGAGAGGAATGAGGGAGGGGGTGATGTGACAGGTAGGTCCCACTATTTGTGTGTTGAAATTACTCTATTACCCTTAATGAGGGTATAAGTTTGACTTTTTTTTAGCCATTAGATCATCCGATCTAATGACTACGATTTATTCTCATTTTTTTTCATTAAACATCATTCTCATGTGAACCCAACCCATAAATATATATAGGTTGTGTTTATGTAATAAAAATGTTAAGGTATAGTGGATGGTGTAATTTCCTCTTTTGAAAAATAGGTTCGGGATTGGGACTCAAAATAGGCGAAAAAGGCCAAATGGACTGAAGCTGCCAGGAAATTGGGCTATGTGCGCGCCTCTGGGCCGCCCAACACGGGGATTGGGCCGCGGAATTGGGCCTGGGACGCTGCAGAGCTTGCGTGCTGTTCGCGGGCTGAACTTCGGGCCCGCGGGCCGAGAGCACCTGACTCACATTGGCAGCGCGGGCTGGATTGCGGGTCGGGACGTCTGGGAAGCCCGCGAGCTGCTCCTGCTCCTGGTGACGTTTGGGCCTCGCTAGTGGGCTTTAAAAAGTAATTTTGGACTTTTAAAAAAAGGCTGCGAAAGTAGGTGAAAAAAAATTTGGACTGTTGGGGGAACTAAATTAAAATGGGTTGGGAACGTACTTACTTTAGTGATTCCTAAATATTTGTAAAAATACTAACTATAAAACTTCTTCGCAAACATACCTAATTGACCATAGAAAATTATGTTAATACATAATTGTGTAACGGATAGAGAGAGAAAAGATTTTCACAACTCTTTGGATGATCCCTTGACTTACGGGATTCTTCCATAAATAAACAAAAATATATGGTAAACTAGATGGAAAATTTAGTTGAAGATAGATTCTAGAAAGTAGTATTTTCAAATTTGAATTAAAAAAGAGTGAACTACATTATTAAAGAAGAAAAAGACAAAATAATATCTTTCAGATCAAAATCAATCCGTTTTCAAAGTATATTATTTGTTTCATATATTGTAAAAATATACAGATTTGTTTATATACTAGAAATATACACGATAATATCAAAATCAATCCGCTTTCAAAGTATATTAGTACGAATCTCGTGCGATGCACGGGGTGGACAGTTTTTAGGTTATTTATCAAGTCTTAAATTATTATATTTAGGAATAAATAAAATTAAATAAATTGAATAAAAAAACTATTAAACACCTCTTTGTACAAAATATTTTTTGTTTGCCTTGTAGACAAATCAATAGATATCTCGTCGGTTAACACGTAAAAATATATTATTGTCCATAATAACATAAAAAATAATGCATACTTCTTATATGACTTACATGCAATTAGGTATCATTAACAACTGCATTTGGATATGATGATCCACTTCTAAATAGTGCATATAAAATTTCACTAATAAAATGTTAAAATTTTACAAACAACATATGCTCAGTTGTTAACAATAAAAAACAATATACATAAATAACATTTGTTATGTCCCCAAGAGGTGAAGGTTGAACAGTATCAAACACGGGATTCGATTACGCCACAATAACATTAGTTCTATAATTTGGTCTTGTGGCGCCAACATAATGAAAAATTTGAAATGTATGAAGGCTAGAGTGATTTCGTTGTGTTAGCATTAGCCATCGATTGGGCAGCACGAATATCTAACAAAAAAATATATATATCTCAAACAAATTACCACACTTCACACTNATCTCAACTAAAAAAAAAAAAACAATCAAAACTCAAATTTAACTACACTTTAACCTAACTCCACCATCTCCAATATTATCAACAAATCATTCAACCAATCATTCTTACACATAACATCAACTTTAATTTACTATTCATCCACTCACATATTTTTAACTAACCATCACTTCCAATCATTTTTCTCCTACTTTTATATCATATCAACTTTAATTATTTTATTTTAAATATTATCTTTATATATTCACTAACAACTAACCATACCATATTTTTTTTAAAATTAACTTTAACTATAGTTAAAAAAATCCAATTAAAATCTAGTTGAATTTATAAACAATCACCCCCTTAAGGGTCCATACATAAAAAACGGCCTTGGAATCCAAAAAAATACCTATCCACTTATAACCTTTAATCGAACGGTCGAAAAATGTCAAACAAAAATGAACGGCTCAGATTTAATATCAAAGTAATATAAAAGGATGACTCGGGTCATTTTGAGGGTTTCATCCGCGTTCTATATTTCTCCGCCGCATCTCACCCAAATTCAGCCATTTTGTTCTTATGTCCGAAATTTGTTATTTCGATCGAGAATTTCCAAAAAAAATCTTAGTTTGCTTTCTAAAAAAAACTTGTAATCACATGTAAATCTGACTATTTTTATTTGTGATTGGTCACCGTCGATTTCGGTCCTCATAGATTACAAAAATCGTTTTTGCAAAACTATGATTTACAAAACCGATCTGTGATGTAATTTACGACCGACCAAAGGTCGATGGCCATGGTCGAGTTCTTTGTGTCAATAATCTCCGAGCACACCGACCGTGGACCCCATCGGCAATGGAAGACCTCTTCCATTGTCGCCATCTGCACGTAATCGAAAAGTGAGGTCGGCCGGTGTAGGGTGCTCCCTTTAGCCGCTGGATCCCACCTCCGTCGCACACCTTCTCCTTCTCAATTTAGCCGCCCCTCCATATGATAGGTAATTTCATGATTTAAAGTTTTATTTTCATCTGTCGCGATTCGATTTTCGGATTTAAATTTAATATTGAGGCAGTTAGCTTGTTATGTTTCTAGAATAGTTCGATTATATATGATGAAATCGAGTTTGTCTTTTTGGTACTAATTTTGAATTTTCATGTTTTGTTACTGAACAACAACCGCTTTCGTGAACCAGAGGTGATTCGAAGGCTACGGATGAAGTTCCACCAGCAAATCTCGATTCCAGACCCACGCCGCCGGCTCCAACTTTGCAATTCGGGGCATTCTATCCCTGGTCTTCGTTACCAGTTCAAGTAAGCTAAAAACCATTACATTTTGCTGTTTATTTAAGTTCTCACACAACTCATAGATTTTTTATTTATTTATTTATTTTTTGCTTTGGTTGTATATATTATGTTTTCGGCTATTTTTTCTGTACATCTTTACAATTTTGATATATTAGAGAATATAAATCGAAATTTTATATTGTTGAAATTGTGCTAATTAGTTAATCTTTGTTAGCATAAGTTGTTCTTCCTAGCTACATTTACATTTTTATTTCTGTTTTATTTAATTTTCAACTCATCTTGTAAGCAGTTAGGATATAGAAAAACGAATTTTCCCTGTAATTGTACTTTAATTGCAAAAAGAAGGTTAAGTTAAACTGGTAGCTGCCGGATAACTTTACATGGTTGCTACTCTTTGTTGCTTTAAAAGTATTTTGTCTAAATATCATGTGTCTATTGATGGGGCAGGTTTCAGTGATGTTCTTATCCTGGATTCAACGAATATTCCATTAAGTTTTTTAGTATACCAGAAGTTGTGTGGTGAAGTTACACTTTTGTAACTCCATTGGGCTATTTTTTATGGCTTATACTTTTGTTGGCTCCAGGCTTTCAGTCTGTTCTTCATCTAATTTTGCGTTGTTTATTAAATTAGGCATTGATTCCGTTACGGTGATGACATAATTAAAGTAAACTTAATTTGATTCCAGATGTTTAAGTCAGACTTTACATGCCCTCTGTGGTTTTCACTTTCATCTAGTGCCAAGAAACTAATCAAAATAATCCTCGACCAGAATTTCATCAACAGTATGAACACCCATCCTTGCGTATTAAGGAGAAGCCCCCTATAATAACCTACTGCTACTTGAAGATATGAAATAATTTCATATTAAGGTACAATCTTATTTCTTATGCTACCATACATTGGACTTTAGGTATATATATATATATATATATATATATATATATATATAGGGGACGGATCCAATGAGACCACTCCTTAAAATGAGTACGTGAGACTCAATCTTAGCCACTCATTTTGTCTAGATCAAAATCAATTAAAACACACATTAATTAAATAATAAAATAATTATTAGTTGACTCCGGCGTTGATCATTGACTTCGGCGTTGACCGTTGACTTCCGGCGAAAATCGTTGCCTTCTGGCGTTGACCATTGACTTTCGGCGTTGACCCGTTGACAGATAACCTAGCATCAAGAAATAAATAACTTAGCAACAAAAGACACTCAACCTTGAGTGGTGTAGTGGTTGCATTGCTTGTCTTGCTTCCATGAGGTACCAGGTTTAAATCCTATGGGTTACAATTATTTTATAAAAAAAAAAAAACAACTAACTTAGCAACATCAGAAAACTAACCTAGCAACAAAACACAAGTAACTTAGCAACAAAACACAACTAACTTAGCAGCATCAGACGAGCAACAAAAGACAAAAAAGAAAGAACCAAATGCTCTCCCTTCTCTCTAGCTTTCTCTCTCTAGAAGATTTTTCAACCAAATTCAATTTTCTGCCTTCCTTTTATTTTTTAGTTCAGTTTTTCAGATCTCCGGCAAGCCGGTGCCGGCTCCGGCCGGTGCCCGTCATCACAGGAAACCAGATAAACAAAAAACACACATATTCTTAAAATCTTTTCACTTTTATCCTATTCTCCTCCCGTAACATTTTAGTCCTCTAATCCCAACATATCAATCATGGTCCCTCTGGTCGCTACTCCAGATAACACCGCAAATCTAGCTGCGGATTTGGAGACCTTCTTGTCAAGTTCGGATTTCCGAGAGGCCCTTTCAGCATTTTTAGGGAAAAACGGGCCCAATAAAATGGATATAGAAGAAAACAAAATAAAAAATTTAGAAGAAGGTGAAATCGAAGAAGGTTCCGACAAGCTTTGTGGGAAAATCAATTCACAGGGGCTATCATCTCCGAGCATCGAGAACCGCACAGCTCCGGTCGTCACGTCACATATCGGCGCAGGACGAGCACGGGAACCTTTTGGCTCGAAAAATGAAAAAAAGGGAACAAAAAACGGGCAATCGGAGCCGCCACTTGTCTTCGGGTCGTACCTCACCTCGATGGAACCGACGTCGCCGGAAAAGTTGTCCTCCGCCGCAGGGCCTGCAATTTTGAATGGTCAACAACCTACCTCCCCTTCACACCACTCAAAAGCGGCGGAACTGCTAGGTTTTGAGAGACAAACAGGCAATGAGGCCAATTATACAGAAAATGCCAGTGTATTGGGCCAAAGGGTCATATTGGGCCAAGCTAGCAACCCAACTCCTAAACCTATTCCTTTACCCCCTCGGTCTGCCACCACTCAAACCAATTTGGGCCTTTATCACGCCTCAACATCAAAACCTCCCCAGCCCACCATAATTCTCTCGCGGCCCACATCACCCAAAAACACTACTACACAGCCAATCTGCCAACAGCTTCCTTCTCGCTCAACCTCACTCCCCGCCACCGTCCAACATTCAGCAGGCGCCGTGATGCAGCCCCCCGCCGGCGCCGGTGCTGCCACGGCCGCCGGAAAGCTTCAGCCGGCCAGCAATCCAACCACCACCCATAAGCCGACCAAACCCCACTCCTGCGAACCTCAACCGGCGGTCACACCACAATCGACCTCCCAGTCCGTCGCCGGCCTTCAGACCAATCTCTCCACCAACTTCCAACCGACAGCCGCCTTCCCTCGGCGCCGGCGCCGGCGATAGCATTGTCACTGGAAAACCAAAACCCACCGCCATGCCATCCGGGGATGTGAGAGAGTTGAGTTTCTCGGCCGGAATTCTCGGACCCCGGCCGAACTCTCCCTTCCCGTCCAACCAAGTCGCCGGAGCAGCACCTCTTGTCGCCGGATCTTTGGACCCCATGGTGCTGTATGTTCGTGAAGATGGCAAGGTTGTCATGGCTCCAAACACGGCACCAGCGGCTCATCCTAATGGACCTTTCACGATCGGGACACCGTCGTTGGGCCCCTCCACGGCTATCCCAGCTGCAACCGGGTCTTTTCCGGACACCGGCTCACTTTCATTCCGAGAAGCTATTACACAGAAAAAAATTGACGGCACGGGCCCACTTTCTTTCCGGGAAGCCATTACCGGAAAAGTAAATGACGCCTCGGGCGCCCTGCGCCAAACACCTAAGGATTTCACCTTTGACGGGAACTATGAGCACGCCTGCGGAACCATCATCCGCTCGGAGGAAATAAGGTGAAGGCCCGATACACTGAAGCCGAATCTGTTGCTCTTGCAGGTAAGCTAGCTAACACTCTGGTCTTTAAGTTTTCATATGCTATCCCCGCTCCTCGAGATATATCTGCTGGGTTAGGAAAACTGGGCTTTAAGGGTAGAGTGTCGTCGAAGTGGTACAATTTCAACCACCTCCTAGTGTCTTTTCACCTTCCCGAGGACTATAACGAGGTCTGGCTTAAGACCTCCATTCATTTGTGTGGATGCCCAGCTAGGGTGTTCAAATATTATGCCGGGTTTAATCCGAAGACAGAGGCGCCGGTTGTCCCCGTGTGGTGCCGCCTTCCCGGCCTACCACCCCATCTTTACGATCGTGCTGCCATCACTACACTAGCTAAGTGTATTGGGCAGCCGGTTCGTATCGACGCCCCGACGGCTCTTGTTTACCTATCGAATCTGCTGAAGCGTTTTTTGAATTTTTATAAATTGGTTATTTGGTGAAAAATTCTGACATTTTACTGAGATGCCTATTTTATGTGTTGAATTATGTTTTTAAAAGATGGGAATTTTTGGAGTCCATTTTCATTCAGTTTTGATTTAAATTCGATAAACTGCTGATGCTCGTACAAATTTTTAAAAATAGTAGCGGTCAACATTCAGAGCTGAGATTTTTATACATGGACTTTCGCATGCTGTATGTTGTTGTGTTAAATTTTCAAGTTCTGATTCGTTCATTAAGTTCAAGTATGAATTAATGTTCCCATTTTGTTGATATCTTGTTCGAATTTTATAAAATAGTGTATTTCGAGTTTGAAGCTGAAAATTTGTGATTTTACATGTTTCCGGGAGTTGAAATTTTTTGTAAAGTTTCAGAGCTTAATTCGTAGGGTAGCCTGACCATCTATTTTCATGTGATTAATTATTTCTATTTTGGAAACATGATTTTGAAATGAAAGTTGGGAATCGACTTGCTTTTCGTTCTGTTGTGAGGTTGACTTAGCCTATCATTAGATGGAATTATTTGAACTCTCATATGTTGGTTGGTCGAGTTTTGTATTGAGTCTTAGTGTTCTAACGTCCACAAGACTTCACGAACTACTTAGTCGAAACAAGTTCGACTAGGTCTGTTTTGTGTTTTCCGTTTAAAGTTAAGATAGATGTTGACTGTAGCATCTTGACTTAATGTAGGTGATTGAGGAGTCCAGCCTCGACCTACTTTCATTTGCTGCCATCACTACACTAGCTAAGTGTATTGGGCAGCCGATTCGTATCGACGCCCCGACGGCCCTTCAGACGAGGGCTAACGTGGCGCGATTTTGCGTCGAGATAGATCTGAGAGCTGAGCTCGTTCATGAGATCGAGATTGAACAGGGCTCGGAGTCTCTTGTTCAGCGGGTGAT